ATATATGTATATACTGCACAACTGGAGCTCCACCTGGTGGTAGAATATTAAGAGTGCCATTGAGAATCTAAAAACAAAATAATAAGGACCTACATTCATTTCCCTTTTCATCATTTTATTATCCAGGAAATTTTGAATATAATGTTCTATCATGCCTACCTGTACATAGACCTGTATGGCAATCAGGAAGAAGCCAAAAAGAACAAGCAGAAGCTGCATTGTTTAAAACAGGAAAGGTATGTGTAAAAGATTTTATCCTTTCTCCATACCTACTCAGTATTAGGCTAAATAAATAATTCAAGAATTTGGACTATATAAAGAAGAATCAGGACTCAAGGAAGACTCATCAACAGCCTACATTATGCAAATAATACAACCCTGCTTGAAGAAAGTTAAAGGACTTGAAGCACATACTGAAGAAAATCAAAGGTTATATATAGCCTTCAATAAGTATTATAGTTCAATATCAAGAACATAAAATTTCTCCTCACCACTGGACCAACAGGCACCATTATGATAGATGTAGAAAAGATAGAAGTTGGAAAGGATTTCCTTTTACTTGGATCCACAATCAACACCCACAGAAATAGCAATCAAGAAATGAAAGGGCATATTGTATTACTGGCAAATCTGCCATCAAGATCCACTCCAAAGTGTTAAAGAGCAAGGATGCCAGTTTAAAGGGTAAGGTGCACATGATCCAAGTCATGATATTTTCAATAACTTCTAATGCATCTGAAAGCTGAAAAAAGAAGACCAGAGAATAATCAATGCCTTTGAATTATGGTATTAGGAGTACTGGAAATACCATGTGCCACAGAATTCCTAAAGAAAAAAAAATACTTCTGTCTTGGAAGAAAGGCAACCAGGGTGCTCTTTGAAAGCAAGGATGATGAAACTTCATCTCATAAACTTTGGCCATGCTGTCAGGAGGCACGAGTCCTTGGAGAAATATATCATATTTTAAAAAGTAGAACCAAAGAGAAGCTCTTCAATGAGATGATTGACACAGTGGCTGCAGCAATATGTTTAAGCACAGTGGAGAGTTAGAAAGGTGCAGCACAGGGAAAAATTTCTCTCTGTCATTCATAGGGCTGCCCTGAGTAGGAGTTGATTTGATGACACCTCACAATCACAAAAACACCCACACTCATCAGCACAGTCTTCACTGGTTCTTCAGGGGCACCAGGAATTAGAGGTGTGAACTTCTCCTGCTTAGCTAGGCTAAACCTCTCCGTTGAACCATGTTCACCTATGGGAGCTCTCTGTCCCGCCGCTCTTCTTCATGGAAACCTTGCTCTTAACCATTCCCACTGAGACCATGATCTTGCTCATGCCATTCTCGTCCAGTATTATGAAGCTGCTCCCCAACTGACAAGGGATTTTTTGTGTGTCATCCCAAAGTAGTCCCTTCAGCATCCAGGTCTTAGCACTGGACAATGGTCTCTCCACATCTCAGATATGGTACTCCTCTCTAATCTCCATTATGAATCTCTGCAGTCATCCATAAATAACCATACATCCCATGTGAAAACTGGTTACTCTACTACAGCTTTAAGACATAAGCTTCAAGTCAAAGCTGTGGGCTTTGACTTGAATCAGGCTAATTATTCCTTCCTCAAAACTGGATATTCTTGAGGAGACACTGGCACTTGGCATCTTCATATCTAACCAGCTATACTGTGAAAGGACACAAACTCCAATCACAGTAAGAGGATGAGGTGTGCTTCCTGGTGGAGGTGGTGATGGTCCCTCTTTCATACCTGTTTACAAATCCACATGGCTAGTACACCTGTTACTGCCTCCTGCACGTCTCTGTGTATTCTGTTTTCAATCGCTTTCTAGATGATTCTGCCTCCAGGTAGCTCTGTTCCCCAGTCTACTCCTACCAATCCTAGCTGCTCTTAATCTTGGATATCGAGTTTTCCTAAGACGTCAGGATTCCATTTTACATAATAGTTTAGCCATCAGATCAGCTGAAGAGCTAATGGGTAAATGTTGTTTATACTTTGGAAAGGGGGTGTGTGTCTCTCCTACAATGAGTTTTCAGTGACTATAAATTACATGGAAGGATTTTGCCCATCTTTCTCCCACAAAAAGACTGGTGAATTTGAACTTTGTGATTTTGGGGAGTGAAACTAATTACCCATGTGGCCATCAGAGCTTCTCGGCCACCAATTTAGGAGTCTCTAAATATTTTGGATGATGGACTAGTATGTTGGTTTTTGTTGTTAGGTGTAATCCAATCAAGTATTACTCAAATGACCCTATGAACAACAGACCTGAACCCTGTCCTAGCCTGCACCATCATTAACCTCTCTGACACACTTGAGCCCGTTGCTGCAGTAATTGTATCAGTCCATCTTGTTGAGTGTTCCACTCTTTGCTGGCCTTCCACCTTTCCAAGCATGATGTCTCTTTCCAAGGAACAGTCTCTCCTAACAACACATGTAGAGTATGTGAGACAAACTTTTACCATCCTTGCCTCTAAGGAGCACTCTGATTGCACTTTCTTCAAGACATATCTGTTTATTCTTTTGGCAGTCCATGTGATACTCAGTACCCCTCTCCAACACCACTTGGATCCACAATCAACACCTTTGATATTTGCAGGCAGGAGATCAGTGTAGCACTGGAAAAGTCCTCTGTCAGAGACCTCTTCAAAGTGCTGACAAGCAATGACATCAGTTTAAAGACTACAGTCCAGGAGTATGATGAAACAAAATTTGTTAGGTAAACCTCCCTATTATTCTCTAAATTAAACACTTTTGATTGTGCTAATAATAGATTGTGCACATTATAATGCACACACAAAATATAGACAATTCTAAAGTAGTATAATTGCTGTTGCTGTTATGTGCCATTGAGTTGTTTGCGACTCATAGCGACCCTATGTACAAGAGCCCTAAATGCTGTTCTATCCTGTGCCAACCTCGCTGTCTCAAACACATTCATTCCCACCACTCCACTCACAGAATCGATCCATCTCATCAAGGGTCTTCCTCTCCTGTGCCAATCAGAAATAGTTATTTTTTCATAAGGCTGTACCACTTTGCACAAGTCCTGGAGTACATTCAAGGGGCCTCTAGTCCTTCTATAAGTGAAAAAAGAAATAATTTTCTAGTAGATCCAGGGGAGATATCAGACATAAAGAGAGAGATTTTTAGGCAAGTCAGTCTTTATGGTACTTTTTTTATAATAATCTAGCCTATAATAACCTATGCCTTTCACCTACCATGTGGAGCAACATCAACGTAATGGAAAATATTTACCAAATGTCTAATTCTTTCAGAGAACTGGGTTGTATCAGGTGAGAGTCTCCCCAAAATAAAAGTCCTTCTCTTCAGGGGCCTAAAGCTTTTTGCTGGTCAACTACATTTTAAAAATTCCTTTGGTAGTTTTACTAGCTATCCATCTATTTTTATAAAATG